ACAGCTCGACTTCCTGTTTGCGGCCTCCCGACCCCGGCTCACTTCCCGGGCCGGGAAGCCGCCGAAGGCCGCGAGTTTCTCGGAGGCTCCGCGCCCGCTCGGCTCCTCCTCCTGCAGCCCCGAATCCCACCCTCGGCCTGGGAGCCCGCGCCGGGCCGCTGTCGCGGGAAGCCGGCGTAGCTGGCGGGACAGCGGGCGGGACCGCCCGGGCCCCGCTGCCCAGCACCAGGGGGCGCTGCGCGGCCGCGGGGCTGCTCCCGGACCGGGACCACCGTCACCCCGCAAGGCACGGTGTCAGCCCTTCTTGGCCCTGGGGGCCACCGGGACGATTCGGAGAGGGAGCAGCCGGATGCGAGTTCAGTGATAGACTTTGTCGCGCAGAGCTCTCTCCGGCCCCCGGGCCCCTAAGCTGAGGGAGTATACTGGAGAAAGCTCAGAGCGATGCTTTCCCCTAAATATGTTAGAGGGTATCCAGAGAAGCGGCCCATTACCAAATTCTGAGCTGTCGGTGCAGCCAGCGCCCTCCCCACCTCGCGGTCCTCTGCGCCCTCTCATCCCAGCCCTCACCTTGAATGGAAGGGAACCGGGTTTGAGTTGGGAGGCTGAAGCTCCCTTCCAGCACCACCTCTCATTGCTAGGTGACCTGGGACAAGTCCATCCATTTCTTCATTCTTTCCGCACTGATTGAGCACCTTTTAGTATGTCAGGCATTGGCGATGAAACATGGTCTCTGCCCAAGGAAGCTGGCCGTCTAGTTAATTATCTTTAACCTCTCAGAGGATCATAATACTTCTTGCATATTACTATGAGGTTGAAATGAGTTAGTGTATGAAAAACAGTTTGTGAGCAACGAGTCCCCCCCCCCCCCACAGGTTGTTTAATCCTTGTATTTATGCCAGCAAACCACTTTCGGGAGCTTTCACAGTCCAGCTCACAAGATAGGGGTGGGCTAGATAGGAGCTTGGAGTCTGGCCGGATAGTCCCAGCAGTAGCCCTAGGACCAAGAAGGCAGCTGAGATGCCGGCTTGCCTCCACCCTTTCTTCTCTTTGTGTCCCTGTCTTTAAGGAGCACCACTTGTCTAGGTCAACCTCCTCTGATGTGGGGAGTAGTGGAAGGGAGACCCAGGCTGTGGGAAGTGACAGCAGGACCCCAAGTCCTCAAGAGTCCCCATCCCCTTGGAGATCCGCCACAAGTGGCTTTTGGCCCTAGTGGGCTCAGCACGTTCCCTTTATCCCCAAAGACCCTCTCAGGCCATGATGCAGGGTCCAAGAAAAGCCAGCTGCGGCTACAGTCAGACACAGGGTAACTAGCATCTCAGGAGTCTGGATTTAGCAACAGGTCGGCTCTGGGCCCAAGGCTGTCCTGTGTCATGGCACCCCCTGCAGGGCAGAGCCAGAGCCCTGCCAGGCATGGCCAGCTGTCTATCTCCAGTGATCCCTCCTCCTGACTCAGGTTGGAGGCAAAGAAGGCCCTGGGGGTAGGCAGACAGGTGCGTGCCACTGCACCTGTCGGAGGATTGTTTTCCCTTTCCCACAGGGGCAGATGTCTGGGCCAGGCCCGTCCTACTATGCCTGGACTGTTCAGTTTCAGCTCCACCAGTGACTCCCTTCACTCAGGGCGTCCTCTTCTCGCTCTCTGATAAAAGAGATCCAAAAGGTTCTGGGATCTGCCCATTTGCAGTAGGCCCCCGGGGGTGGTGTCCTTGCTGCTGTCATTTAAGGGGCTTTACCTCTTTGGCTCTCAGAGTCTGCCTCCACAGTCAGGCCCATTTTGTGCAGTCATACTTCTCCACATGGGCTGTTTTTCTAGGTTCTCTTCTAAAGCCAGGTCCTACCACACTCCAGCATTTCTGTGGGGTCTGATGTTCGACTTTGACTTCATGGGTCTCCCCTCTGTGCAGCCCTGTCACTCCACTGAAGTGCCCCCCACTGCAGTTCTCAGCCCGGAGCCAGCCACTTCCTGCCCCCACAGACTACGCCTTTCTTTCTCTCTGGAATTGGGAGAGGGGCCCCACCATCCCAATGCTCTGTTGGAGCCCTGGCCCCTCGCCTTCCAGGACCAGGCCTGAGGTCAGGGCGCCCTATCAGCTGTGTCTTCCTCCCTCCTCGGCAACTAGAAATGGGCAAGGAGCCAGATTTTCCCACTATCCCATGCACCCCTCTGCCAGGACGTGAGTGAACCCTTACGGCCCCTGCTTTTGTGGGCAGGGGACCAAGTAGTCTTCCCCCGCTTGGCTCTGGATTCAGTTGGTATAACCAGCAGAGCAGCTGTCTTCTCTTCTCTCCCTCTTCTGAGGTGGACTGTATCAAGGCATTCAGCTACTCCTTCCCATACTTTTGCCAGAGCATTGGTGAGACCTATGTCCCTTTTGCACATGGGCCAAGGACCTGAGGATACATTTATTTCTCAGTGGTTTGCAGGAGATATAGCTCCTCATAGATGGGGATTGTTT